ATTCTTAATCTTTGTAAAGAATAAATTTGTAATCTAAACCAAACCATCAAACTTTTTCTTCTCTTGATAAGATTTTGTGTCTTTACATAACAATGTTCTTAACTTTTTGAAGAAAGATACTTTTTTTTTTACTGTTGAATATAAATTCAACTACGTTATATACTAAAGAGGGTTTAGATTAAATTTATTTGTTATAGAAGACTAAACTTTGTATTCAATTTCATTGACAGGACAACAAATATTTTTTGGGTGAAAACTTTGAGCAAGTGAAGAAAATGAAAGAGTTAATGGTGAAGAGATGGAAGGTGATAAAGGCAGAAACCAAGGATTAGATCTCTATTCAAAATCCGCCACCGTGGATTGAAGAAAAGGATGGAGGAGGCGGCAAGTCTACATTTCTCTACAACTACACTAGGTAATTAAATCTTCAACAAAAAAAAATAAAAAATCTCCCAAGTTGGATTCAAATCCCTCAATATTATTTTAAATCGAAACTTTCACAAAGAATTAAGGTTGAAAAACATTTGAAGAAGAAAGGATAAAGAAGAAGGAGAAAAAATAATTAAAAAGGATTAATTGGTGAAAAACACGTGTCAAGTGCGTGTGTTTCACCACTAGACACATGAATGGTTATTGCATTTTAAGGGTTATTTATTTCATTTTTAAATAGTTCAGGGGGGTGATAGGACACCCATAAAATTGAAGTATGTAGTTAAGATTTCGGGTATAGATTGGAGGGGGGGGGGGCGGTTTAGACCATTTTCTCTAACAATAGTAAATATGTTCCAAATAAAAGTGATAACAAAAATAACCATATAATAAATAATAATAGCTAGAATAGTGTATCGAACAAATTTCTCTTATTAATAAGCGAGTACATTGACCTGCTTAGGGTCAACATGCCTACTTCAGCTAATGGAAGCAAGCAACTCTTCATTGACATGCCTGCTTCTATCCGAGGGCGGTTTTGAAATTTCTATATTTTTTAAATTTGTTAGATATTTAAAAATTATGTAAGAAAATTTTAAATTACAATAATTAGCAACTTAAAATATTTAAAATTCTTGTATTCTTTAGAATCTATTATATATTTTTTTAAATGTGTAAAATGTACTATAAGTCACAATAATTAGCAGCTTAATTTTTTTAAAAACATATAAAAAAAATTAAATGGTTCTCAAAATTCTATCTGTGTCATTAGTTAAAAATGTATGTGCAGTGAGTTTTATACCAAAGAAAAGATTACTTGATATTGTAGCCAAAAAAGGAAAAAAATAAAACGATTACTAAAGCCGTACATTGATCTCAAATTCTGGGCGAAGTACATCAGTACCTATTTTTAAAGTCGTCATTTAACTAATATTTGTTGTCTATATATTTGCATATAGGTTTACTTGTGTTTGAAAATAATTTAGGTATACATAATCGAGGTTGAAAATTCACATATCTGAACTACATGTAAATATTGCTCGAAATTGGGGAGGGGGGTGAGGTGGGGGTGGGGGTGACAATTGCCTTCTTTTTCTCTAAATTAAGCTCAAACTTGAAACATAAGTTTATGTACCATAAAACACAACACAAACCTTAATAATCAATTTCTCAAAATTATAATAAATCTAACAAATTTATTTAGTATTTTTTTTAATGTATGTCTATCGTGTGCGCTCAATCATAAATATATGTTAAAAATAACAAAAAAAATTAGATGTATACGTCTGAAATGTAAAAATAAAAACAGAAAAAATAAACTGGAAATAACATATGGTTTGGTCTAGAAGCTATCTATTACTGAATCACACCCACACAGGAAAAAAAAACACAAAAAATTCAATTTAATAAAGCAGACAAAATAGAATACCCATGACTCTTGATGTTCAACTATTTTTCCAATGTACTGGGGATATCATAAACATAAATAAGCTAAAAAGGAAACATAAGAAAAAGAGAGAAATTATTTTAGATCTTTTGTTGGACTTTGCTACTTTCTGTCCTATCTATTTATATTTGGTCTTATAAATATTATTATTAGTTTATGTATCCCTTATAGCATGACATTTGTGAGGTATAATATAATGTTTTTTTGTTAAATAGAACATATAACATCATTTTAGAATATTTTTTCTAGTTAAATTGCCAGGCAATACAAAGTCATTTCTCATAATGTCTTGAAGTAGACTTTAATTTTCCTTGTTATAACATGCCAATAGGGCAGAGCTAGAAGTTCATTTATGAGTTTGGGCGAATTCAATATTTTTTATTAGTTAAATAATTATTTGTATTAAAATATCTATTAAATAAATATAAATATTAAATTTAAAACTCAGTTGATTGACATTTGAAGTAGTCATTTGTCTATTGTATCCTCACTTTAATTTGTTTCTGCCTCCTCCAAATAAACATGAATAAATAAGTATTCTCTTTGTCTCTTTCATTTATACAAAATTATTATTATTGAGAGACTGAATACTATTAACGAGAAATATAATGAAATCAAATCACATAAGAGGTCATCAGAAATAACACTATAAAAATAGATATTTATTATTAATAATTTGAAAAAGGGTAAGTAATGCATGACTGTTAATTGTTATTATAAATTCAGATGATCACTTAATTAACGATTTTTATTTCAAAAAATCACTTTACTATTATCATTTCACTCATAAAATCACTGAATAATTTGTAATTTGAATTGATTAAGAAGTCTAACCGTATATATAAGAAAAAAGAAAGTTTTATACCAAAAAGAAAAGTATAACAAAAATGTTGTATTCAACCACCTTTGATAATAGTGTAAATGAAGAGTTGCACACATAAGGTGGGGACCTTGAGGGGAGTTTAATTTCAAGAAAAAGAAGGCAATTGATACCACCCTAACTTACAACCACCCCGACTGCCAATGCGACACTTGGATAATATACAATTAAATTTCGTTATAATGATGACGTTTGTCTGAATATTTCGTGGCTGTTATAATAATAGATTATTATATATTTATACTATTATTTGATGTTTAGATATCATTTAGATATTATACATGAGAATAAATGATATGTGTCATCTTTCATAGTAAAATTATGACGATAAATAATGAGTACCATTTAAATATAATTTTCTTTAGATATTCATATTTAAAATTTACTATATATGTGTGTGACATTAATGATGATCATCATAAATATTTTAGTATTTTATTTTTATATATAATATATTTCTTACAAAATATTTGAATATGACGGTATAAAAGAGTAATTTTATAAAGAGTGTACACTATAATGAAAGTCACTCTTGTTATAAATATAATGAAATTCTAGAGAAGTAAAATATAACACGAAAAATCGATTCTAAAGAAAATCAAATCGTTATAGTAAAATGTTGTTATAACAAATGACCATTATAATTAACGAGGTTTGACTGTATATCCTCGAGATTTCATTTTAATTTATTTCATCCGAAATTAAGTTTTTTTTTTTCTTTTTAATATATCTTCGGAGGTACATAAGGGCCTTTATGTCGATATGTTTGTTAAAAAGAAGATATCAGAACTACTCAAAAAAGGAAAAGAGAAAATAAAAACATACCAAAATTATCTATATATCAATGATGATTTTCTGATGTTCTTGAATTCCTCAAGGTATGTATTTACATTGAGAGGTTTTATGAATAAGAGAGTTGAGACTATGCTTCAATTATATATATGGTCCCCATAAAGGGAGAAAATTTATTCAATTTTATTTTCTATCACATCAAAACCATATTTGATTTTTTGGTTAATATGGGAGTGCATCCATACTTTCTGTTTTTCAATGTTTTGGATTGTTATAAAAAAAATTAAAATTAAAACGGAGTAGAGCCAGGTAGGATCGAGGGGTTCATTCAAACTCCTTTTGATAAAAAAATACACTATATATATGTTGAACCTCATTTAGCTTCTTTGTGTGTGTTTCTTCTCCTACTTTGATTCCTTTAGTGAAAATCCTGATCCGTCACGGAATACGAGGAAAGTTGAAGAGTAAAGCATCTAACCTTGAATTTGATAACTATATATCCCCAATTCCTTCTGGCTGAAGTCAAATCTCTTTTAGAAAAATGATGCTACCTACTACTTTACCAAATCTATTTAGAGTAAACGTTTTTTATTTATGGAGTTACTAAATTCAGTAAGATTTTGGTTACGTACTCATATTAGTATGAATTATGAAGTAATTAATCAAAACTTGTTACATCATATTCAGTACTGCTTTTAAATAATATATTAATACACCATACTGAAGAAAAACCAATTTTCTTTTATTGTATTTACTTTCATGGTCAAAACTCAAAAGGTTCATAAAATATGTACATATAGTTCATGACCATTGTAATATTAATTTCTTTTTGAACTTCAAATGAATTAATACAAGGATTACCAAGAGAATAACAATAGAAAACAAATTTCAATTACAACCCTTCAACATAAATATATTTCTAATTAATGGTCAATGTTTGGCCTACAAAAATACAAGATTTTAGGCCATGCATGCTATATAATCTTTAGTATCTAAGCATATACTAAAACTAAATCTATAGAAAAATGAGCCATAAATTAACGTAGTTGTTATCTTAATAAGATCACAAACAAATCCAATATGCACTAACCTCTCACGGTATACGAGATTCAAGAAGAACAAGATCAATACATAACATTTTCATAATTTGATCGAATTTGTGACTTCCTGATCATACTGCAACGCTTATGATTACGCTAACGCTCGTTTTCGATCTTTACACGATAGCAGTACCAAATTGACTATTAAAAAATAGATCTAGTAGTTGGAAGATTAATGATCACACACAAGGAAGTTAGGACACGAAAAAGAAAAACCTACAGCTAAGAGAGCGTTGCTTCATTTAATCCTCTCATCTGCTCTCCATTCATTACACTTTCCCTCTTTTACTCTTTAAATTTCCATTTTCTTCTCTTAGCTCTATTCATCCTTCCCTTCACTTATAATATTTTTCACTCAAAAATGCCTGAAGTTGTCCCAAATTTCTCTAATTCAGTAAAGTTGAAATATGTTAAACTTGGTTATCAATATCTTGTTAATCATATTTTAACATTTTTGCTTGTGCCTATTATAATTGGTGTTACTATAGAGGTATTAAGAATTGGCCCTGAAGAGTTGCTAAACATATGGAATTCACTACACTTTGATGTTCTACAAATCTTGTACTCTTCTTTTCTCATCATCTCTATAGCCACTGTTTACTTCATGTCGAAACCACGATCAACTTACCTAGTAGATTATTCATGTTATAAGCCTCCGGTTACTTGTCGTGTACCATTTTCAACTTTCATGGAGCATTCCCGGCTTATTTTGAAGGATAATCCCAAGAGTGTGGAGTTCCAAATGCGCATTCTTGAAAGGTATGGTTACATGATTAATTTGTACTATTCAGGGGTCGTTTGGTACGGGGATGGGATAAGCAAGCATATTCCATGTGCGGTCAAGCACATCTATGATTTTGAAGGAATAATAACTAGTAAAGGAGTTGGTACACTCCTTCTATAATATGGGATAGTAATCACACTTTTTTAGTACAAATGTTACGATAAAATAATCCTGAGATTTGTTAGTGCGATCAAATCAAACATGGTATAAAGTTTTTCTTGAATTTTGTTCCAGAATTATTATCCTTATCCCATGTACCAAACGATCCCTAGTTTTTACATTATCTGAAATATTATATCTTTGCATATTATAGTATTTTCAAGATTTCAATTATTTCAACATTTTAAAGTGATTTACCTCTAAATATCATTTGAATGACTCGATGGATAAAGCATTTACATAGACATTTTATAAAGTGATATTATCCCACATTTCAAGAAAAACACGAGTTTGAAAGCTTTTGTATGTTAAGAGGTTTTATTTAAAACTAGAATTTCGATATAAATATAAATTTAAGTTTTGAATTTAAAGGAACGTGTTTGTTTATGAAATAAGATGTATTTTGAATAGTAGTCGAGCTATCCTATTGAGGGGGTTCAATTGAATTCCTTCCGTTCAAAATTATGTTGCATAAATACGGTAAAATTAACTTTTTGTGTGTTTAGACAAGTGAAAATGTTGCATTCGAGCATATTTTAAATCTCCTTTCTAAAATTTCTAGCTCCGACAGCTCTACAACCATGCCTTCTTTGGAAAACGACTAAAGATATGTTGCATTATACAATTGTTTTGTTGTACACCCTTTGAGCTCCTAGCTCCGCCTTTGCCTCAAGTATCTGATCTCTTCAAGAAAACTTGTTATCGCGAGTCATGAAAGCCTTTCTTCTTACTTTATGTTGTGCTATATTATTTCTCACAGGTCGGGGCTCGGAGAAGAAACTTGCTTGCCTAGTCCCATCCATTACATCCCTCCAACGCCAACGATGGAAGGTGCGAGAGGTGAAGCAGAGGAAGTCATATTCACAGCAATTGATGAGTTAATGAACAAAACAGGGCTCAAACCAAAAGACATTGACATTCTCATTGTCAATTGCAGCTTGTTTTCTCCAACTCCGTCTTTGTCAGCTATGGTAGTCAACAAATACAAATTAAGAAGCAACATAAAAAGTTACAATCTCTCTGGTATGGGATGCAGTGCTGGTTTAATCTCTATTGATTTAGCTCGAGACCTTCTTCAAGTTCATCCGAATTCATATGCTTTAGTTATTAGCACTGAGATAATAACTCCCAATTATTACAAAGGTTCGGAAAGAGCAATGCTCCTCCCGAATTGTTTGTTCCGAATGGGGGGTGCAGCCGTACTTTTATCCAACAAAAGACGCGATCAATATAGAGCCAAGTACAGATTAATGCACGTGGTCCGCACCCATAAGGGTGCAGACGACAAAGCATTTAAATGTGTATTTGAACAAGAAGATCCACAAGGGAAAGTTGGTATTAATCTTTCAAAAGACCTTATGGTTATAGCAGGGGAAGCTTTAAAATCGAACATTACTACGATTGGTCCTCTTGTTCTTCCTGCCTCCGAGCAACTACTCTTTCTACTAACACTTATTGGACGGAAGATTTTTAATCACAAATGGAAGCCTTATATCCCGGATTTCAAACAAGCGTTTGAACATTTCTGTATCCACGCGGGTGGTAGAGCAGTTATCGATGAGCTTCAGAAGAATTTACAATTGTCTGGTGAACATGTAGAGGCATCAAGAATGACACTACATAGATTTGGTAACACATCTTCATCATCATTGTGGTATGAGATGAGTTATATTGAGGCAAAAGGAAGGATGAAGAGAGGTGATAGAGTATGGCAAATAGCATTTGGGAGTGGATTTAAGTGTAATAGTGCAGTTTGGAAGTGTAACAGGACAATCAAGACACCAACTGATGGACCATGGCAAGATTGTATTGACAAGTATCCAGTTCATATTCCAGAGATTGTGAAGCTGTAAAATATATTACTCTCTCTCTTTATTTACACGAAACATTAATTAGGAGGACTGTTTGACTATTTTAATCTTATTTGTGTTTTAAGATATGATTGAATATTTACTCTATTTGTGTGTGTCATAATTGTAGACTTCCACAACATTTACTATGAGGGGAATACATAATTTCTTTGTTTTGAACTGCTATACCAAATATTTTTAACAAGGATGACAATTGACAAGGAGAGAGTATGAGGCTGTTGTTCAATGTTAGTATTAGCATTCGTCTCTCTCATTTGGTTGAGAACAAGTTATTCTGAAATTAATTATTTTGGGATTAATTATCTCAGGATTGTTATTTCATCCTCAACATGCATGGAATAAAAATAACATTACAATTTCGAAATAAGTTATTTTCCAATTTTATCCCAACCAAAAATAAAATAAACTTGACTTATAATTAATCTAGAAATTAGTTGTCAAAACTAGCGGGTTCATTGAATTCCTTACACTAAGGCTATATTCGCCACAGATATAATAGTGATCTCTTGATTACTTCTTTAAGTGTCGAGAACACTTAGAAAAAAATTAAGCGTAACAAATAATTAATTACTTCTTTAAATGTCGATAGTACTTAGAGAAAAATTCAGCGTAACAAACGAAGGAATGTGAAGATAAAGTTATAAAAACGTACACAAGATTAATAATTGCCTTGATTTGAACCAGTGCTATAAATTAAAGTAAAAGATATTTATGTCATTTTTTTTCTTTTTTAGGTGTTCTATATTGATATTTATTGATCCAATTAATTTATAGGTGGTTCACGTTAGAGGGCAAATTGTAAACTTTTAGCTGCAAACACACGTTTCATTTGGTGAGCAAGGACCACTAGTTCAACTCAATTAATTATTGCTACTACTAATTAACCAAGTAGCCATATGGAGTATATTGTAGTACTGCTTGGAGACATTTATTAATGAAGCTAGAGTCTTGAAAGTTCACAATCTCTAATTTTTAGTCCATGTGTCCTATTTTGCTTTCTTTGTTTACTTAATATCTTATTGATATATATATATATATATTATATTAGAAAAAGAAGAGCTGTTTTCGACATATGATATCGAGCTAATAAAAATATGTATAAACAATATATCAATTCTATGGAAAATGAATCATGCATAAATAATAAGCGGTGTCGTGGGGATATGATTGGTTGATGACATAATATTGATTGATGAGACACATAATAAAATTAATAATAGGCTGAAAGTTTGGACACAGACCCTAGATTAATGTAAAGGTTTTTGCTTTAGTTTAAGTAAGATATAATACTCCAACTTATTATTAAGAACTAATTGTTTTTAATTCATTTTCAATATTTAAATGACTTATAATAATTAATGGTATTATAAGAAAATTATTATTATTATTATTATTATTACTATTTTGGAAAGGGATATGTCATGGTTGTACCGATTTCATATCTCAATTCTCAAGTAAACTTAATTGAACACATAGAAAAAAGTTCAACTTACCATTATTGGATGTTTAAGCCCAATTTGCCTATTTTAATAAGAAAAAGAATTTATAGTTTTATACCTATGTATCTTCTTTGTTTATTTTGGAATTGGTTAGATGGATTGCTGGACTGGGTATTGGACTACACATCTGTCTACTTTGGGCTTAACATTGAAGAGAATATCTACTAAGATGAGTGGACACAAAACTAGCAAATCGATTGGGACACAATCTCTATATATATTAGGTACATGGTTTCTTCAAATCACATATTACTATAAAAGCTGTTGAAGTCTTAACTAGAATGCTAAATAGTCTATATGAAAATCCTAGGTTCATTAGTTTTCACATGCAACCAAATGGACCTAGGATTAATCATATGTCTTATGCTGATGACATCATTATTTTATGTGCAGGTAAATCATATACCCTACATTTAGTGATGAATGTTCTCAATAGATATGAACAAAGGTACATATAGAGTTGTTAAAACGGATCAACCCAACCTTATCCAGCCTAAGTTTTGCGGGCCAAGAAATTTGATGGCACAGGTGGATTGGCCCTTCATTTGAAAGGGATTGGAAACAGTTGATCCTAGAAGGGTCGAGGGCTAGAACGGGCTAGCCCTTCTTTCTTTTCTTCTTCTTTTCAAACTTAAAATTCTATCAATATACTGTGTTTGTAACATATCTAACAAAATGATGTGAAGGTACATAATAATTACAATTATAACATACATTTTATACGTGCTTTCAATTACAATCTCATATCTTAAATATATATAATATCAAGAAAATGAGAAGATTTTCAAATTAAATGTAACAAATAATGATGTTGTTACAATAATTCTAGCAACAAATGTTAAAGAAAAAATATATTTTTTTTGACATAAATAAGTAAAGGAAATTAAAAAAAACAAACTTATAAATTAAAGAACAATTACATTGTATAACTTTATTTATTTTAATTTAAATTTGGACCGTACTTATAAGCCCTAGTTTTAAATGAATTTGAAATTTTAATTTCAATTTTATCTCACTGACGAATTGAATTAGGTTAACTCCATAAACTAAGCTCATTTTGATGGCTCTGGAGATATAGCAATCTAGTAGACTTTAGTAACAAAAGCTATATTCTTTCATGATCATTAACATCCTTTTGGCAACAATCATTGCATCACATTAAAGAGATCCCATATGACTCCCCAAAACAAGACGCGACAATTTCTCCTTCAATTATTTTTTATATCGTTAGATTGCCTTTTTTGATTTGAGGGTCCATCGGAAAAAATTCTACATTTGAAAGATGAGAGTTCAAATAGTGTTGTATTGTTACGGTGAAATTCCTGATTGGTATGGTGAACTTGTGGTGGTGTAACCGAGGAGGGTGAAAAAGAGAGAATTTGTTTTTGAGGTGTGTATATTATTTGTATATTTATGTATATCTTTCATGTGTATACAAGTATTCACTTGTATATTTGTGTATTTCAATTAAAAAAAATATTGACTATTTCCGAATGACTTTTTTCTGGTTGATTTCAATTCTGAATTTTTTTCAAAGCATTCCAAATCACTACCAATCTTTTTAGATTTTGTATACAACCTCGTTCAGTTTTTTCAACAAATTTCAGCCACATTCACTTAAAAAGTAATTAAAAAGTAATTAAAAAGTGAGATAATATCATAAAATTTATATGTTATTAAATATTCTTGAGTTATCGGTGCCAATACAAAGAGTTTTTAGGCAAAAATCATCCCTCAAGTATAACCTAAACTTAGAGTACATCCTTATGATATAATTGTGACCAAAAAACATCCTTAACATCCATTCTGTTAACTACTGTTAAAAAACTAATAGAAACAAATACATGTGCTAGGCACATGACTTCCTCTAAATCTCCATATACTGTAGATTGATTTCTTCATCTTCATGAACAATAACACACAAGAAGTTGGGACTCTTCTTTCATGCTTTTGTGTAGAAAAAAGATCTGCTCCAATTGTCCCACTTTCAATCTAACCTTCAGCAAAGCTTTGCTAACCGCGGGTTGTAATTGAATGCTCATAAAACTGATCATTGCACTCAAATTTTCTAAAGAAACTAATAGCACTCGATAATTTAGAAGATGCACAGTCGTTCGCAATTCGGGAGAGCTCTTGAGACACAATTTGGAGAGAAAATTATTAATGATGATGCATGCAGTTATATGAGACAATAAGACTAATGTTAATAAGAAGTACACCAAGCATGTTGGCCTAAAGAGAAATTTTTCTTGGTTGTGCGAGGTGCCGCTAGAAATTCGATAAGGTGCTTATAATTAAAAGTGTCATCTATTGCATTGATAAAGAAAATTCAGAATCTCTGTTCCTACGTATTGTTTCTTGTTTTTCAACCTACAAAATCTGATGATTTTGAATGTGAAAAAGATATTTAGTTTGAGAAATAACAAAAATAGTACAATATTGGTAAAATCAAATCTTTTTCAGTGGCTATTTCTTTTGCCCCAACTTCTATTCTTATGTTGAAAAAGAACTTGTATGGTTGCTTTAAGTTTAGAAGAAAAAGAAGTTTTGTTTCTAGAAGACACAAGCCCTGTTGAATATAGAAAACGATCAGAATTCAGGAGGAAATCAGTAGTATAGTATATGGGATTTGGGGAAGTCATGTGCTTGGCACATGTAATTGTTTCTGTTAGTTTTTTAACAGTAGTTAACAGAAAGGATGTTTATGCATGTTTTGAGATAGTTAAATGATGTTTTTTGTTCACAATTATTTTATAAGGATGTTCCCTAAGTTTGGGTTATACTTGAGGGATGAATTTAGCCTAAAACTCGCTCTAGGTGTGTCGCATCCTATTCTGAATCAGTCGAAATAATCGACAAATTAATGGCTCTTCTATTTTAAGAATTTATTAGAAAACTTATGCGTCTTGCAACTGCTTTAACTCTATTAGTCAAGCATCGATAATCTTTAAAATTAATCTAAGTGCACTTGAGGGTTTACCTATTTTAAATGGAAGTCAAGAAAAAGAATCATATATATATATATATATATATAAAGGAGAATGTTAGACTTGATGATGTATGCCTCTAAGACTTGATGATGTATGCCTCTAAAATTTGGGTCAAATGTCTTGGATGTTTTCTCCCAATATATAAAGAGTTAGAAGGCCTATCACTCATTAAATCGAAGGCCTACGAGTCTAGTTTGCAACGCACAAAACCTCGTATCAAACCGACATCAGAGTAAAAAGTTATGAGGATTTTACTAGGGACTGTCGGGGCAGAATCCGGGTCGGGTCAAAAATATGGTATGTTGGCTTATTTAACGTTTCAAGCCATGAAAACATTTCATTTCAGTTCCAAACCATAGAGAAAGCTTAAGAGAGGGTTCCTATGGAGTTCTAGCATGATGAAGGTTAGTTTTTGACTATTTCTACCATTAAACATTGCCCCCGTGCCTAGAAACATAATCATTACATGTGACAATCGTTTTTCCCTTCTATTAGTTGCG